AGGCTGTTCTTCCTGTGCAAAGGTGTAATCGCTTGGCGCTACGATTCCATCTCGACCGCCCTGAAGCTGTCTGGTGCAGCCATTTGGTTCCGATCAACAGCGTACGTGGTACATGTATAGCTTTAGTGCACGTATCCGCCGTATATCTGGTTAATCTCTGAATTTGACAACAACGACGATGATGAAGATTCGTAGTGGTGGTGGTGATGATGGTGGTGGTGGCGGTGATGATGGCGATGAAACGCATTGCGTTTGTCTCCTCTCCTGCGACCATTCGACATGCCCCGTGCTCAGCCTCGAACACACAATCAATGCTTTGCTGCCTGGCATTGCAGAGACTCCACCGGAATTGTTTGGACACCAGAAGACGTTCCTGGGGCTAGTACCTACAACCCGTCCCCCGTCGTGTTCTCCGACGGTCCGTTGTCTAGTTGCTCGTTGTAGCATATTCAACACGCGTATGCGCCTTCTCATCTCTGCTTCGGCTGAGAGAGATCTTCGTGAATTCTCAACATCACTCATAGTATTATCCTTCTGTTGCCTGTCACCGACCTTACTGCAGCCTGTTCCATGAACGATGGCACCTGGAGGCAGACAGAATTCATTTTTGCAACAAGCAACGCCCGTGCACTTCCTATCCGGGACCTGGCTGCAGAGGACCATGGCAACGACGGCGAGGAGTATGGTGGGTAATTCGTCTCCATGTACTAGTGGCACACAACACAATGACAATCCTCCTCTGGCTGAGCATGTCAGTGCACGTGACATCCCCATCACCACTTCTAATCGCTCTTGTTGCGACTGAGAAACTCTGTGTGTGTGTGTGTGTGTGTGTGTGTGTGTGTGTGTGTGTGTGTGTGTGTGTGTGTGTGTGTGTGTGTGTGTGTGTGTGTGTGTGTTTTCGTCTGTGGGGATGTGTATGCACGGTGCGCACAATTTCAGACGTTCATCCTCACTCAGGAATGCCTGCTTGCTGCTGTCTAGGTGCCAATCCGGAGCCCGTCATGTTCCGCACAGACTTTACGGTCACGAAATTGGGGAGTACTCCGCTGAATCCAGGCCGCACCTGCGCAGACATCCTTTTCGCAAGTGGCGGATCTGCCCCTGATGGGTGGTATTGGCTCGGTACGTTTCCTTCCGTGTCGTGTCGCGTCGATGCGAGCTTCCTGCTTTTGGCTTCCTGCTTGTCTCACTCGTACATGTGAGCTGGCCGTTTTCGTGTAGCGTGGGTGAGCCTTGAAGGCTGAACTCCATTTCTTTCAACTCTGCTCACCCTCCACACTGCGCGCTGCTCCTCCTTCTGACTAACACTGGCGCAGATCCAAACGGCGGCAGCCCAGCAAACGCAGTGTTTCTGGAATGCGACATGGTGGGTCACTCTAGGCTGTGTGTGTGTGTGTGTGTGTGCGTGTGTGTGGGTGGGGGTGGGTGTGAGTGTGCCTGATGCCCACCTAATCTGCTTCAAGTGGTTTTGTTTCGCTCTGGTTAGCTCTGTGTCCCCCACAACTCACAGCGCCAGCAACATCCTCTTTGCTCGCTGTAGCTGAATGGTGGGTGGACTGGCGTCCGACCCAAGCAGAGGACAATCCCAATCAAACAGTGGCTCGGAACTTCAGGCGATTCCCCAACGTAAGCGTATGATTGGGTATGCCGAAAGCTTTGTGTGTATGGGTGTGTGTATGTGTGTATGTGTGTGTGTGTGTGGTTGAGTATGTGTGGATGTGTGTGTGTGTGCTTGTGTGGATGTGTGTGTATGTGTGCTTGTGTGTATGTGTGTTTGTGTGTATGTGTGTGTGTGTGTGTGTGGTTGTGCACCGAATAATCTGTGCTGGTTCTCATTAACTTTCAAGCTTGCGTGATTGGTTGGCTCCTGGTGGTTCTCGCAGTTGGTTTTCCGACACCTCAAGCGGCTTCAGGATGCCTTACAACATTGATTCATCCCAACTGGGTGCCCTCCAATCGTTGTCAATTGAAGGAAAGCAATCCATCCTCTTCCTTTGCAACGGCGTGCTGGCGTGGCATTCTGGCTCATCCTTGGACGGCACAAATGCACTGCAGGTGCGATCAAACAACCACTGCAACCAGCACCACGCTAGCACCACGCCCATTGATGCGATGTTTTGCTCCTCATGGCAATTCAAGCTTGTGAATCAATCACTCACTCATTGCGGTATCATGTGTGCATGTGCGCTTGCATGCCGCTGAACTATCCATTATTTAGTTCCGTGGTGGCGTCACCAGCGACACAACATGGCTCTACAACAGCGCGGAAACGAGTCGTCCTCAGGTACATGCTTTCAGCCGCACGCAGAACATGACAGAGACAGATGACTCTGGTTGGTGATTGGACTTGGATTTGCGGTGTGTGCCTCACCCTCAATAACGTTGCACTCTTTTCTTCCTGACAGGTGAACTACGAGCTTGATGGATGCCGTCACAACGACAGGCTCGCGAGCACCCCCTTTGAGTTCCACACAACCCTGACCAAAGGTGAATCAGACCCCTGCCCTTGCCTGCGTTTTGTTGCTTGACAGATGCCGTAGACTGCACGACGCAGTATTACCTCGCTTGCCGATGGACATTAATTCATTCATTCTCATTGCGCTACGTTGCTTGTTTTCCTTCGTTCGAATCACTGGGTGTAGCCCTCCCAATCAACGACATGCGAGTCCGCGATGCTGGCAACTCTGGCGAAGTCTTTGGCGCTGAGATGGGCGTCACGTGGTTTCGCTGAGCCAACCTTCCATAATAGACAACACATGCATTCACTCTTGTTTGTTTGGTTGCTTGTTTGCCATTGTTTGTTTGCTTACTTGCTTTTGGTTGTTCTGTTGCCGTTGGCTGGTGTTGTTGGTATTGTCGTCGAGAGCTCCTTTGTTTGGTTTCATTCTCCGCCCCCCCCCCCGCATCACCTGTGTGTGCTAATCCCTGATGTGTTTTCTTTTCTTTTCATCATCTGTGACAACGTTTCGTCCCTTACACACATGCGGTGCTGTGAATTGAAGAATTGTGCAGTGAAGTTGGCGTAGGGTTGCTTTTTGAGGTTGCACAGAATTGTGTGAGGCAACAAACAAGAACACAAGGAGAATGAACAAACACAGCAAGCTGCTGCCAAATCAACTCGGGCAGCACGCTCAAACAAACACTAGACAAGTGCACACACAGTCAACAGAGCTGCCAAGGCGACATGGGCAGAGTGTGCACGAACACAAACAATCTAAACAGCGAACAGCATGCATACATGCGCGCAGAGCAATGCTAAGCATGGCATGAATGCTTGCAGGCAAGCATACACAATACACAACACTTTACAACACTGCATGGCACGCACACATGGCATTTGCCAAGCATGGCGAGCATGCACACACACACACACATGGCACACAACTCACGTGTGTAGGGGAAGGAGGAGAGGAGAGGCAGTTGGCACGCATGCCAGCAGAGAGGAAGGAATGTTTGCCAACGGAAAAACCACAAAGCAGGTGTTGTTGGCAAACAAGACAAAACCACATGAGAAGGCAAATTAGGAAGGACTCAACACAAAACAGAAACTCACTGACTCTCAACAGCAACCACGCCCT